TTATATGATTTTACTACATTGTCATTATTTCAATAATCTTTACCGATGTTTTGATTTGATAGTTTATATGATTTATATATCGATTGGTATTATAGATACAATGATTGTTTTATAGATTTGACACTAGTACCAATTTACTACTTTACTGGCTTGTACTATAATGTTTTAATATTTATAGATTGTACTACTACTACTTGTGAATTTTATTATTTATGTACTGATTTAATGATCATATGAATGTAATTGTTATGCTATGACAGTTGACATGCATATTGCTCTTTTTTCATGTTTGATTTTACTTGTAGGTTTTGATGACCTGCTGATCTTTTTAAACTTATTATATGTGGTTAAATGATTTCAAATCATGGCAGGGGAGCAGAAGTGTGAGGTTGGTCATGATTCTTCAAATTCTATATCCTTTTGTTTTTCTTTTATACTCAAGATAAAATAGTTATGATATGATTGTATAAATTCTGAGTATTATCTTTAATTTTTGGAAATGATATATGTGTATATTAATGTTTTAAAGTATAAAATATATTTTATTGTTGTTTATTACTGATAGATGATCTTAGATATCTCTGGTTGTTATTTATTAAGAGATTAAAAGAATAATTCCAAATTAAATTCTAGAATATCAAACATACTACAATTAAAAAAATATTTAACATAATTGAAGGACGAAAATACCCTGAACACCTTTCTCTGTCCTCCCTCTTCTCCATTTCCCTATCTTTCTTCCTCGATAAGCCAAGAGAATGAGGAAGAAGTGGTGGCACTGGAGGGCTTAAGTGATTTGGTTTAGAATAAAAAAATATATAAAAATATTGTCAGTGTTTAGCACCGCAGCGCTCAGACCCAGTATTGCAGCACTACATGTCAAATCTAAAATTACAGTGGAACAAAGACTCAAATGCTATATTTCTAGCATCTTTCTACTTTCAAGCATAACATCATAGCACTATAAAGCACAATGCCAAAATGCTCTAGTTCAAACAAACTTTTAATTTTTTTTACACTATATTTTTGGGTTATTACATGTAGTGTTACAACCCAACTCGACATAACAAGCATATTGAATGAGTCACATGATGTTGAATCACAACAGTTTTGTTCTCAAGATTATGTGGAATGAATTTCTTTTCATTTTATTTATTAACATAATATAGAGCCACTAAAAATCAAATTATTAATATATAAAAATAACATAAGAACATTCTCATTTATTTTCAAAAAGCTTTATAGATAAAATATTTATATATAAAGCAATCAGGCTATAAATTTATAGTACATCATCATCAAATGCACCATGTGTAATAACCCAAAATTTCATAAAATAAAATTTATTTAAAATATGAAAAATTATATTGCAGTGCTGTGGTGTTGTGATTAAGAGTACATTGGTTCCATGCTCTCTATTCTACTATAGTCATAGATTAAGCATGCAACACATTGACGCTGTGGTTTGTGGTGCCATAGTGCCAGGCATAAAAAAGTATTTAATATTTTTTATTGTATTTAATATAAATATTCCTCCACCAATACATTTCTCCCTCTCATTTCATTGCCTTGTCAAGGAAAGGAAAAAAGGAGAAGAAGAGGAGAGTGGAGATAAGAGAAAGATGGACTTTCGAGGCTTTTTCGTATGTTGTTTATATTATGAAAATTATTTTGATCAAAGTGAATCTACTCTACATCTATTTTTAATGATTTTGAGTTTAGTATATTTCTTACTCTTGAATTTTATAAAAAAATGTAATATCTTTCATTATAATTAGTTTTCACTGTGTAGCTTTTAAAATGTGATATATGTTATTATTCTGAATATTTTGATTGATTCATATTCAAAGTTTACCAAGTAGATTGGTATATATGATATTTTATTTGAAATGGGGAGAGTAAGACTGTTGTAAAATGATCAGGAACTAATATACTAAATATGGATATGAGATACTTAATATACATATTATTATTGTTCATTTGATATAATATGCATTTTAGAATAATATATAGATATAATGTTATGATAATTGCATATGAAGATGTTTGTTATTTGGATATACATGATATGAACGATGTGATTTATGTAAGAACATGTAAAATGAATGAATTGGTGTGCTTTATGAGACAAATTAGATTGATATTGGTATGATTGAGAAGATTGAGAACTGATATGCGAATGATTGGAGACAGATGATGGATATGACAAATGATAGATATGATAAATGATAGATATAATCGATGAAAAATATGATCTATGGTATATAAGACAGATGATAGATCAGACTGATGATAGATAAGTGATATGACCGATGATATATGATATATATGATCGATGATAGATAGATCGATTATTGATGATTGATAAGATCAATGACACATAATATACGATTTATATACAACAATTGATTGGCTGATTATATTGATTGATTGATTGGTGAGATTGATTGACTAATTAAAGGATATAAGAAATATGAATGATATGTAGTTGAAATGATAGAGTACTGATATGAACATATGATTTATAATTCTTATGATATTAATTCTTATGATATGGTTGGTTCACATGATTCATGATATAGATGATATATGCATATGATAAGATTGATAAGATTCATACAATGACACATGACATATATGAATTATATGATATATATGATAGTATTCATATTGACAGCTACGTATTCTCACAGTTATATGTTTACATTGCTTTTAATTGAATGATTGTATGCGTATTATTTTTATTTTGTGCATTAATTTTAGTTGTAGATTTTTGTGGCTTGCTGTATTTTTCTGCTTATTATATGATTTTCACATCTTTTTAGATAAGGGTAAAGAACCAATTGAGAGAGATTGATCCAAGCTGCAAGTTTAGGTTTCCCTCTATTTCTGTTGTTCTTCTTTTCTGGTCATGATGTAATTGTATTGATGAGTTATTTTGATTGAACATCATGACTATTATATATGTTACTTTTCAGGTTAGATCGATGTGCAAATATTTGATGAATAGTAATATATTTATGCTTTATGTTGTTTATCTTATATGGATGAAATTAATAACCTCTAGTTGATGTTTAGAAGATAAAAAGATGTAATTCTTCCAATTTAAATCTTGGGGGGCCACACCATGATTGCCAAAAGAATTTACTAACACAAAGCATACTAAATCACTAGAAATTTTCTACCTTTAACTACTCAACCTGCCTTCCCTTTCCCTTCATTCAAATTAACATATACAAAAAAGCATGTACCACGTTCTGGTAGGCTACAATAACCTTAATAAATTAATAATAATAAAAAATAGTAATATAAACAAATTACTTTATCATTATAGAAAAAACAAAAGATAATATTTGCGTAAAAACTTTTAGTAGAGTAATAGATGGTTCAGAACAGTATCAACATAACAATTCAACAAGTTAACAGAATAGCACATTCCCAAATAACATAACTAAAAGCATCATATTAGATTTAGTCTACAATCACATCATATCAGATAAGTGCCTTAGGCTCTTATAGCTCCCAACATCTCACGAAGAATATAATATATACAAAATCAGTCACTTATGAGTTCCTATGCACAACACATTAGAAAAAAAACACTTATAACACCAATGCATGACACATTAATATCAGATCCTTGTGATTCCAAATGCGTAGCACCATTCTTTCATTCAAAATTCAAGATCCTATACCTCTACTTGGATGCACCTAAGCATTAATAACAATCGCCAGTGTTTCTTCACACAGATTCAATCACATAAATATAGAAGTATCATATTTTCATCATATATAAAAAAATCAAATGAAATCTATTTAGATTTGAATAACTTTTCCAACTGGCCCGATAAAGAAAAAAAAAAAAAAACATAGGGACCTTTGAAATGGGCTTTCACTTCTTGGTTATGAGTCCAACTATAGAAATTATTTATAAATGATAAAATTTAGTGGCTCATTTTGGCAACCGATTGAATAATTTTTGATGTCGTTGAGTTTGTCTCGTTGAGACATTCAGTTCAACTATCGCCTAATCCTGATTTTAGTTTTGAAAGTCTCCATTTCAAATATGACTCGAGATTCATATCCACTCTAGTTGATTTTTTGGCAACATATCAATGTTATATATAAGAAGAATTTCTATTATATCTTTTGTGTTTTGTTTCTAGATTTAGGTTTGCTTTTGTGTAGGTTTCTTGTTTGGGTTATGTAGCCAATTGTGTGTTGCTTGTTATGTTGCTTTTGTGCCTATTAATAGGCTTTAGCTTGTATTAGGAAAGCAACCAAGGAAATAAAGATTTGCATTGTTTTGGCTCACCGCCTCCCCTCTCCTCTCTCCCTCCTCCTCTTTCAAGATCCATGAGGAAGTGCTTCTTCCTCAAGTGAAGGGATCTCACAATATTAATTTAAAATAAATTTATAATTTATATCAAAATATTTTGACACAAAGAAAAAAATAAATCGTAGGATTATACTAGTGCTCATCTTTGATTACAATGATGTACTATATATATATTCATATGATAAAAAAACTATTTTAAGATATTGATTGCGATCAAATGATGGTAGTCAAAGGACTTTGATCGTTGATTGGTGCAATGATTCGATTAAACAGAGATTCTTCAAAACTTTAATCTCTGTTTAACATCAAATCAAGGGTCCAAACTAGAGCGAGTCTTACCTATAAAAACCAAAATACAATCAATCGCTGGTAACAAATTCAATGCAATCTATCTTAACCTGTTGGTTGGATATTTAGACTATACATCAAAGTTTTGAATTAAAAACTTAAGTATATATTGTGTTTGTAAGTTTATATTTAATTAACTGAAAAGTAAAAAAAAAAAAATCTACGAATTTTTTGAATTCCACGTGTCCACATTCAGCGATCGTTCACCTCAACGATCGCAATTCCTCCTCCGGTCAACATCTCCTGATATTTGCCTCCCCTTTCTGCTCCATCCCTATGATAAGTTTATTTATAATTATCCTCTGCAGCGCCAAACTGCACTTTTGTCCACTTCCCATCGGAGCCCCAATTAGTCTCGTTTCCGCACTCGATCTAAAGGGTTTTGCGCTACGCCTCCTTCTGCTTCCACTAGCAGCAGCTGAAAGAGAGCTTCTATTTTCCCGTGCTTTGTTGGATCTCTCGCATTCAAACACGTGATCGTCTCCTTCGTTAGGCGAACATCTCGTGAATTTTTTTAAACCGATAGAGCGGTGGATTGCGGAGTGTAAAGCGGATAAGCTTTATTTTCTTTTCCTTTAGTCGGATTTGACATCAGAAAGTGCGCCGCTCTTCTTCGACCAATTGGTATTTTGGCCGCCTCATTTTCTTCAATTAAAACTACTGATTTTTACTCATTTAACAATAATTATTGCCGCATTGTTTAAAAATCTTCGACTTTTGTGCTTCAGATTTGTTTGAAGGGATTGCTAGGTGGATAACTTTCACCATATCTGCTCTTTCTCTGATTATTTTCTTGTCAGAAGATGTATGGTTGGAGTTTGTTTTTTCTTCTTGTAGCCTAGGATTTGCATAAAAAGGTTGCGTAACTCTACTTCGACTAATGGGTGTGCTTGCGTCCCTCCCTGATTTTCTTTGGCTCAAATCTTTGATCTCTCAATCACGCTCTTGCTATGAATCGATGATTTCTCTCGATGTTGTTTTGCCAAAAGATAGATGGTTGGAAGTTGTTTGCCTTTTGGTGACTACCATTACAATTTAAATCGAGTAGGTTTTGTTGAATCCTGTAAATCCAAATATAGTAAACCTTTAGAGGACTAAAACCTGAATAATATTTGGCATGTCAACTATTAAATCTTTCTAAATAATGATACACTGCTCGGCTATTTTCTTAAGATTTATGAGAGGGGGATATTTTTAAATTCCTTAAAATTTGTGAATGATAAGATTGAACAAATTGATTTAAGCAAAAAAGGAGTTAACATTTGATTTTTAAAAACAGTTGTATTTAAAGTATCTAACAAAAAATATTTGGCGGGATTTAAGCTAAATCATTCTTAGATCCTACCTCAAATAGGATACTTAAATACCCCTTTATTCCGGTAGATCTGCTTTTCTTGTGAAATTTTCAACAAGCTTTTAATATAAGCAACATGCCGTAGTTTTTAATTATTTGCCTTGCCTATAAATGGTTGTCAATGAAAGAAATTATGGTCTAAAGAGGTAGGAGAAGAGACGAGAGAAACATCTGTATAGGGATAATACTGCAATGGTGAATGTAGCTGTTAATACATTGCTTAAATAATTTTCATTACAATAACAGCTAGCTAATGAATGTTTATACATATTGAGGAATGCAAGCGATTGAGGAAGGAAAACGATGTAACGACCATTCTATTAAACTTCAGAGTGTTATTCATGGGTGGTAGTGATTGTTTACATTAGTATAATCGAGTGGTTCAGATCTATAGTCAGAGGAAGTGTCTGCATCCATATAATAATGCATGTAGAACGGCTGATATGCGTATTACATGCCCTCAAGTTGATGTTACAAGTGTTGGATTATTAACTTGTTGGGAAGTTTACAAAAATAATTGGTAGATAGTGCTTTTTTGAATTTGTCAACCAGTTTTGCCCGTTGGCCTCGGGAGTTAATATCAAGCATGGTTATCTCATTAGAAAGGATTGTTTTAGATGAAGTGCTAGCCACTAGCCAATCTCATTATGTTTGGTTTTGTAGCGCCCCAAGATCAAATTTTGAAAGAATTGCCTATTGTAATCTCTTAATTAATCATACAAAACTTCTATGAATTCATCAATATAAAGCACTCTAGCCAAAATAACTAAAAATCATATACATTAAAATATAATATTTATTCATCTCTCAAAATTCATGTGCAATAGCCATGAGTTCAATCCATACATTCATCAGACTATCTTTTAGCTCTCTACTACAATAGAATAAAACTAAAGAAAATACAAAAACAAAATAAAACTTGAATCTCTGATCTATGCTTACTCTATTGGATCCTGACCCCTTCTTGAAAGTATGTAAAATCACAAAGTGAACTATCAGTTCAATTAAAATCAATTGAAGATAGTAGAAATAGTATACATGTAATCAATATAAGTATAAATATATAATTGTAAAAGCATGCAACAATCAATAAAGCTGTTACAAATCATATAATCAGTAAACATCAATACAACTGTATATTTTAAGAGCAATGATCAGTAACTGATGACCATACACAAGGGGTCAATAAATTCGATCATTTATATGCTCATTAGTTATAGAATAGTTTCTATCTCGGTTCAGGAAATCTGTATACCTATCATATTCATATACTATTGCCATCTTTTCTTATATACAAATATTTGATAATATATATATAACATAGTAAACAAGTGATATTATGTTTAATATTTATCTCATTGTATCAATCTAGTGCATATAAAATTTACATATGAATCATGATTAGTGACATTCATAAGAAAAATCAATATACTCATTTTTACATGTATATGACCATAACGGATGAATTATATAAATATGCATGTCATACATTAGTATTTTAAGGTTTTGAAAATTATTTATGCAATTTTTATATTTATCTAAATTTCTTAAATTAGAGCATTTTCTCCATAATACAAAAATATCCGGTAAAAATTCTATATATTCCTATTAATATGTGCAGAATGGTTAAAAATATAACATGTAAAACAGACACATAATGGTCTCAGAAAATTCACTTGTATCGACACATTAATTTTTTAAGAAATTGTAATTAAATAAGAAGCTTCTTTTTTTCATATCTACAATGCTCATAAAATTAGAGAAAAATTAATATTATTAGAATACAACAATATATATGTTATAGCGAAGACGCTTTACAAATTGGACTTATAATGACTCGTGAAATATTATTTGATTGTTGTAGGTTAAAACATGGGTTATTACAGGTTCGGGTATGAAAAATAAGATTATTGACTAGGGCCATACTGAACATGTTATCACAATGAAGGTTGGCTGGATGAGTGAAAATAATTTGTTGTTCTTGAATCGATCACACATTCCGTGTATGGCTTTGACGAACTAAGCTCGTGCCTCTTGCCTGATTTCATTCGTCCGTGCACACCCAACCCACACGAACAACCAATCTCTTCTTGCTCCTGATCTCTTCGAACACTCACATCAATTCCAACCCGTTTGAGCAAGCCTTATACACAATCAACCTAGCCTTTGTCTCTGCCGTGTGAAGTACTGTTCGTTTGAGTGAGTATTCTATTGGGCTATTTGATCTGCTTCAAATTGCTTACACATAAAAATAGAACCCAACTTCTATTGATATACTCTGAAGTAGGAACAGCTCAAATTCTAACTACTAGGACATGCATAACCAACTCTAGTCGATTGTATTGATTTAGGGCATAAAATTTTTTGACATATATTTGTTATTGCAAAATAAATAATCAAGAATATGCAATTTCAACACCCCGCGCCATCAATCTTTGATTTGGGTGGATGAATTTTAAATTTGAAGGCTCTGCGCCATTGATTTCTGATCTGAGTAGAATGGTTTAAAATTCGAAGACCCTGCGCCATTGATCTCTGATCTGGGTAAGAAGAAATAACGCCACATGCTGTCTTGGCCTCCCCCGTGAGGAGGGGACGTTAGGAGGCTGCCCAAATTATCTAAAAAAATTACTCAATTGGAGAGTAATTTAGTTTAAATTTTAATTAATTAATCACCAGATTAAATTAAATTAAATTAAATTAATGAAAAATAATTAATTGAAATAAAATTAAATAATGAAAATTACTTAATTGAAATTAATTAATTAATGAAAATTAATTAGTTATTAGAATTAATTAATTAATTAAAATCAAATTAATTGATTGAAAATAAGTAATTAACATTAATTAATCAAAAGTAATTAATTAGTTTAAATTAATTAATTAATTGATATTAATTAGTATTTATTGTTTGGTTAATTTAAAATTTGAGAGCAATTAAAATCCGAGAGAAGTTAAAATTCGAGAGCAATGAAATTTGAATTGATTAATTGGTTGATTAAAATTTTAATTAATTATGTTAATTGGTTAAACAATTAATGTAGAGGGAGCCACTCTGGTGAAAAGTTTCTTTTAAATGCAAAAAAAAATTGTTTATCCACTAATCAACCATAAAGTACAAACTACATTAAAATCACACTCCTAAATCTACTACTTAAATGAAAGAAAAATATCTCCAATGCTCCTTTGCAAGCTCTCAAATGCTCCTCTATGCTCTCCAAAGTTTCTCTGAGCTCCTGCAAACAAATAAAAAAAAATCATTAGCATTTAAAATTAAATTTGCTAAGGCAAGAAAGAACAAGTGCTGCACTAAACTACAGTATTGAAAAGAAAAAAAGCAGGGTGTTGGTAGAAAAAAGTAAAGTACGATATAGAAAGTAAAGTAGGATACTGATGCAAGAAAGAAAAGCAGGTATTGTGAATTGAACTACTGTACTGTCAATAAAAGTAGGGGAAAGTACTGAACTATTAAAGCAGGAAGTGAAACTACTATAGTAAAAACATTAGTGTCAAGCTAATAAACAACTGGAAGAGAAGGGTTTAGTGTCAAGCTAGCAAATAACTACAAACTAAATTACCTATGGGTAAAAGTCTAATCGACACTAAAATAAACAAACAGGCTACTTCCAAAGGGAAACAGTAAGTCCTATAAACACTTCCAGGGAATTTCTGAAGGGAGTCGTAAGACCTACCAACTAAAACTAATGAGCATCTTAGTCTAAAGGGCTAGATTGTAAAACCCATTTTTCACGTATCTTCCAAAAGAAGTTGTAAGACTTGTTATTTGAGAGAAACTCCTTAGAGAAATATTAAATTCTCAAATTAAATCTACATTAATGGGCAGCTTAGCCTATAGGGCTAGATTATAAGACCCGTTAACGGGCAATTTCCAAGTGAAGTCATAAAACCTAAACGTGAGGGGATTTCTAAATAAATTGCAAGACTCTAAAATCCAAACAAACAAACAAAACTAATGGGCATCTTAGTTTATAGGGCTAATTTGTAAGACCCACCAATAAATTACTTCTTATAGAAGCTGTTAGTCCCGCTTTACGAGTTACTTTTAATGAAAGTCGTAAGTCCCAACCCAAATTCAAATACTCGAAATACTTATGGGAGAAACTGTAAGACTCACGTCAATTTAAACATTTTGGTAACTTCTAAACGAAGTTATAAATCTCAAACCAAACTAACTTCTTGTTATTCTAATATATGTAAACCCCAAACCACATTTTTTAAACGTAAACCAAATCAATTTACATCTAACAATTTCTGTTTACCCGGGATCCCTAAGAGGATTCATCCCATGACTGCTAATCAGATTCCCGTATGCCTAGGACTACGAAACTGTACGACCCACTTCAATTTAAACATTTTGGTAACTTCTAAACGAAGTTATAAATCTTTGACCAAACTAACTTCTTGTTATTCTAATAGATGTAAACCCCAAACCACATTTTTTAAACGTAAATCAAATCAATTTACATCTAAGCACTTCTGTTTACCCGGGATCCGTAAGAGGATACAACCCATGACTGCTAATCAGATTACGTATACCTAGGACTAGGAAACCATGAGATCTCGATCCCCCCCCCCCCCCAACTGAGACTAAAATACCTAAAATTACTCATTCTTAATCGAGAGTTCTCTCTTATGTATTAAGAAGGGTAGTTAACTATGAGCGCAAGCGCTCATGGGAAGTAAAAACTCAGATTTAATTAAACCCTTATACTACCCTCAGAAAAATATTATTAACTACAATCTGACTTAAGGGAAATGGAATCCTATGTCTGCAAAGCAGAATTCATTCCATCGTGCCGTTTTTCTTGAGCCAACACCAGGCAAGATATGAATTACTCCAATTGCAAGAGAAATCATTACATTCGATAACAACATGTAAAACTACGTGCATATACTACGAGTGTGCAGCTGCGTACTTTGATTTACTCACACCTAGCTCTACGTGAGGTGTTAAGACAGACTAACTTTTCCAATTGTTGTATGATGGCGTGTAGGTTTACAAACGTGATATATCAAAACAATATCATTGAAAAAGAAAGAAAAACAAAAACTATTTGGCAGGACTGATCAAAACAGTAGGATTTAATATCTCAAAAACCTAATTGGTGGGATTTAAACTGATTCTTTTTAAAATCCTTTCTTAAATAGGATACCATTTCAGTATGTCGATTCTTTTTTTTTTTAAATTTATTTTCAGCCAGGTTTTTAATTATTTGCCTTCCTGTAAGTGTTATGTAGCCAGGCATCAATGCCTTCACTTTCTGCATGATGGTGTTTAGTCGTAAACTAGACTCAGTTAACACACTTTTTTGGTTTTTAGTTAGAGGGTTCTGTTGACGTTAAATTACCATACCTGCAGAACTCCCCACTATTTTTAATGGCATTGACGGAGAAGGACAGTGAATCTACTCTTGGCTGCCTCAGCAAAGATTTTCCCGCTGTGGCTCACCCCTGTGCCGAGCAGCCATCAGAAATCACCTCCAACATTGTCTACCACGCTCAATACAGCCCTCATTTTTCACCGCTCAAGTTTGATCCAGAGCAAGCTTTTTATGCCACAGCGCTAAGTGTCCGTGACAACCTGATTCAGGTGATCTAAATTTCTTTGTTATGTGGAGGAGGGACCTATTTGATTGTTTTTATATTTATTTGTTTCTTGTAGAAAATTTCCATATTTCCATGCATACCAACATACAAAACAGTCTCTTCTTTCCTTGACTCCAATTTTATCAATTGCAGAGATGGAATGATACATACTTACATTTTCACAAGCATGATCCCAAGCAGACTTATTACCTGTCCATGGAATATTTACAAGGCCGTGCTCTTACTAATGCTATTGGGAACCTTGACATTCAAGGAGCATATGCCGATGCTTTGAAAAAACTGGGGCATGAAATTGAAGAAATTGCAGAAAAGGTATGTGCATCTTATCATCAAATGTTTTACTTGCGTCATGGCCTTCTACGTTCTACTATTCAAGGGTCTCCATTCCAACTGCGTATGTTTGCTTTATAGTGAATTACTAGTATAAAACTAAAGTAAATTGAATATTTATAGGAGAAAGATGCTGCGCTAGGAAATGGAGGCTTGGGCCGGCTTGCATCTTGCTTTCTTGATTCAATGGCAACTCTAAACTTACCTGCTTGGGGATATGGTTTGAGATATAGATATGGCCTTTTTAAGCAGAAGATTTCAAAAGAGGGACAAGAAGAGGTAGCTGAAGATTGGCTTGAGGTATGTTCCACGGCATAAGTTCTTTCAAAATACATAATAATATCTTCTTTTTACAAGCTATGCTCTCTGATATGAATTTGACAGAAGTTCAGTCCTTGGGAGGTTGTTCGGCATGATGTTATTTTTCCCATAAGATTTTTCGGCCACGTTGAGATCTCTTCAACAGGATCGTAAGCGCTGATCCGAATTTATTTTTCAAGTGTAGTTCATGACAGCATTCTGTTGGAAAAATTTCTATATAAACCCATATCGTGAAGAGTTATACTCATGTTTCACTTATCAATGCTATAGTATTCTTTTTTTGCTTGAACAGTCATAGTAATTTAATAGACATTGTGTTTTGGTATGGCTGAAGGGTCAGTTATGTAACATGGGGCTTCATTCAAGTATTTGTCGGTCATTTGGGCCTATACAGATGCTGAAGCTGAGCTATTCAACATCAGCTAATTGTAAAGGCCTTAACTGAATAGTTGGGACTGTTGTTCTTCCTGTTTTATGGTATATTTGGCTTCTTGTACATTTAGAGGTTTTACTAGAGGGAGTGACTTCCAGAACACAGATTTGGTATTAGATGGATCCATCAAGATTACGAGGCTTAGGTTCCTCCTATAAAGAACGTATTAAGGGGCTATTTGGTAGGAGTTTTGAGTATTATGTATCTCAAATATAGGGGTTTTGATTTTTTGAGTGTTTGGTTTAGAATAAACTAAATTCATAGTATCTTTTTGAGCAACTTGGGTAAATTAATCAGTTGATTTTAAAATGCATCACGTTACCTTCGCTCTTTGTGCTCGTAAACTCTACTTACGTCACCTTCACTTAATAACCCATGATGATCAAGACACTTACAACCCTCATCGGCCTTTTTGCATTGCTTGCAACCCTTGTGGTCCCCTTTGCTTGCAAACCCACGACACCGCGATGACTACCATCGTTCAACCCCATTATTCACCCCACATAATGACCTCACTGCCGCTACCTCCACTCACATCGACATGATCGACCTTATAGACTTATTATAACGCGTTGTGACCCAAAATGTATTTTACTTGCAAGTAATCAAAACCAAAAATAAATTCCGAAATTTATTTTACAAGAAACTAAACAAAGTATTTCAAATGCGTTGATTTTATTTATAATGTATTTAGAATACACCTTATTTTCAAATACTTTAGCAACCAAACAACCTCAAAGAAAATTGTGGGCTCCGAATTCGGCCCCGGCCTCCGCTTGCTTTTCTATTTATATATTCAGCGAGGGAGTTTTAACTGAATAAGTTCCGAGGTAATTTTTGGAAGGCAGATGGGTTTGTAGATAAGACACTACCCAGAGATTTCGCCCTCATTTGGTGAGGACTTTATGATCTGAGTTCTGGTTTCCTATAGGCGCAAGCCCCTATAGTTAATTACCCCTCTCGATCACGAGAGAGAACTTTCGATTAAGGCTAGTCGTCAATCAGATACGTATAGAGAATACGTGTTATCTGGCATATAGTAGCAGCATGAGTTGGATATTGAGAATGGTTAGATAAATTGGGAATTTGAAGGAAAAAAGATTGATATTTAAAATTAGAAATTGCACCATCTTGCACTTAAAGAGGATGGTGGGGGAATGGATGATAGACCCGATCAAGATCTCATGGTTCCGTCGTCCCGGGCCATCGTGGTCCCTGGTCTACTTAGTCAGAGGAGGTAGTCGACCCAACCTGACAGAAGGATCCTTGTCGGCAGCCATGGGTTGCTTCGTCCAAGGGGACCTTGTAGACCGGGGTTGAATGTTTGTCTAAGGGGACAAATTTAAATCCACCTTAGCTGACAGAGAGCTTTGTGCCCTATCAATCATATCCTATTGATTCATATCTCAAGGATTTAACGCCATTAAGGAGCGTATTGGCTCTGGCCATAACCGCTATCTGTGGTGCCATTTGGCGGCAAAACCACTCGGTTCAGAGGGCCCCGGGCCATAACCGTTTACCTGCAGTGCCATTTGGCGGCGAAACTGCCGGTTAGAGGACACGTACCACATCCTTACTGGCAAGAGATTGTTTGAGAATGGATCCTAGTGATATTTTCGACTAGGCATTTGGCTCTTTGTGAGCAAAAGTAAATTCTG